AATATATTGGTTTCGCAGACCAAACGGATGTCATAACTTTCTCTAGTTTATTTGATCGAACCTCACCCTCAATTCTTGTGTTCATCCTTCGGGATAGATACAAGATTTGAGGTAAAGCGCTCTTTCATTTAAACTATGAAAATTATGGGGTCAGTTTGACTTCATCTTTTTCAAAACTAAATTTTTTTTAAAAAAAAAATGTCCTTCCGAAGCGGGCAACGGGATTTCAATTCCGATGGCCGACAGTTTCTTACGGGCAAAACCCACACCAAAAATAGTGTCGACAAACATACAACCCATTGAGACCTACGCCCCAGTCTCGAGAAATGCAGAGAATCTCTAACACCTTATTCTAGACTTAATCAATCCCTAAGGGACATAATTTGACCTCTTTCATTACAGGTTGTAGTCGTCAAGCAAAAGCTTCGACTTACGACATCGAATATGTCAAAAATTCTTAGTGGATTTTCTCCACCTCTTTCATAACAGGTTACGGTCGTCAAACAAAATTTTTAACCAACAACTCAGGATAGGTCAACTATCCTCGGTGGAATTTATATTACTTTGTTCTTTACTGGTTAATACATCCGAGCATCTCCGGTTATACCACTCAGAACTGGTCTTACATCATTAATAGATTCTTCTTTCAACCATGCCCCTAGATGTTAAGCCCTAGAGGCAAAACTTGATGGCAAGATTTGGTGTCTTTGGAAGTTGAGCCCAAGGGATAAAACTCGATGAGACTTTTACAATTTTAATTACTAATTTTGTATGCAAAAAGTCTAACGAAAATAAATTTTTTGTTAGACCTAATTAACCAATAACTTTGATACACCATCAACAAAATTCCATCCTCATGCACGAATCTCGAGGAATTACACAGATTTTGAGGTAATTTTGTAAGTAAAAAATATTCAAATCTCGATAAAATGTCATCTGGTACTTTGATTTCAGCAATTTTAAAGTCAAACTGACCGGCACGACAAGAAGAACCAAATATTACCAAATCTGGTCCAATCCGAACCAAATCAAGCCTTTATCAAGCTATTAAACTCCTTTTAAATGTTTCCTAGACACATTTAGAAGGTCAAACGAATGTCAATTCTGACGAGTCTATAGTCAAATCGAGCATATTGACAAGACGAATCTAACGAGTCCAAGATCACTCAATTATGACATCATTAAATCACTCAAATGTTCATCATTTGTCCTCTGGTCGAGGGAAGCCCTCTGAGCTGTCTGATCAAAGTAATTAATATTTCTGCATTAATTGCATCAGCAACTCTACAAATAGAGCCCCATCCCTCTCATGAGAAGGGTGGGGACATGATACTTAAGAAAGAACTTGAAGCTTTAAAAGGAAACTAAAGTTTAGCACCCCTTTTGCCGCTGTCGACCACCTCCAACCACCACTGACTGTCGTCGACACTCAGGTCGCTGTCAACCACTACTGATCGCCTCAAAATCATCTTTATATAATGAAATTTGGAAAACTTAGTAACCATTTCTCGCCTGCAGGGCAAGTCCCGCCTGTGGGGCAAGTGCTTACAACTGCAATCATCTTATTATTGTGAAACTCTTCAATTAGGTCAGTTCCTTTGATTTTTTCCCTTTCCGTGTTTTTAACGTAAAAAACTTATGGTGTCATTAGTAGTTGTTTTCTCTTTTCTGAGTGTATGTTGAATCTTTATACCACACTAACACGATAATCTGTTACTCTACTGCAGTGAATTTTCTAGCACACATCAAACTTTTCAATCTCTAAATTTATCATGATTGCCATTTATATAACTAATTTGTGTGCAGAATTCATAGGCTTAGAAACAACCAAAAATGTACATGATTAAATTTTTATATATTGATATATCCCTGTTTTAAAATTTTTATTTATATTTATAATATTTTTGTGTCAAAAAATCCGCATAAAATGATTTATTTTATGTCTAAAAATTAAGTATTATTATTTTAATGAAAATGAATGGTGCAAGAAAATTCGCGATGGTAATGCAATGAATTATTGTCTTAGTGCTCTACAAGAGCCAAGAGCGTGCTCACATAAGAAATAACTTGTTGAGATATCAAAAGTTTTTACTTGGAAAAATTGGAGAAGAGAGCAAAAAATCACTTGGTCTTGTGAGTTGATAATTACATGTACAACCTCTTTTTCTATAAATGGGAAAGTGTTACACAGTTGCTCGAGTTACAATGTTCGTGCAAAAAAATCATTGCCCCGCAGTAGGGAACAATCACAACAGAGAATAATTGTTCGAGCTTCAATACACCGCCTTCGGGGATGGCTTGACATGTGAGATGATGCACTGCTTCGTAGGTTGCTAGGTGATTCTATGGTGCCGGTTGTTGTTTTGCGCATGTTTCACTGTTACAAGCGGGCAACTAGGGGTGTAAATGAGCCAAACATGAGTGAGCCCAGGCTCAGCTCATGTTCGGCTCGTTTATATTTCGAGCTCAAAAACTATGTTTGTGGCCGTTCACGAACAAAGAATTATTTTGACAACCCTAATCATATAGTCATAAGATGTTAATGATTGGGGCAAGATTTAAAACATCATTTGAATCTGATGTAATAATTTTTATTCTATTTTCTTAATTAATACTTTTAATTGATTATAAATCTTTATATCCTTGTGGTTAATTAAACTTTTTAAAAATACCACTTATCAAAGATACACACACACACACACATAATTGATTAGTAATATTTCGAGTCAAAACGAGTCAAACACGAATGAACAAATATTTATTTGTGTTTGGCTCGTTAACTTAGCGAACAAGCCGAACATGAGCTTCTTAAGGAGCCGAACACGAACTGTTCACAAACAACAGGCCGTTTTGACAGCCCTACGAGCAACAATCGATGGTGATCTGTGGCAACCAATGGTTGTCAGCGGTGACCGTTTATGGATGACTAGAAGTGGTCAACCAAGGTCAGCAACTGCGGAGCTTGAAGTCTTAAGAGGTATCATTGGTGCAGAACACCAGACCTCAGCTCCCTCTTTTACAGGCTCAGGTCTTCCTCTGGCTCAGGGTCTAATCACCTCCCAAGAAATTAGTAGGATTCTATTTATAAAATTTAGATTACAAATAAGGAAATAATTCGGACCACTATGATTGAAGGCTCCAGTGATCCACTTATCTTTAATTTTGTTTATTTATATTTATAACAATTTTTTGCCATATGCCTGCAAAAAAACTGTTTATTTCACTACTAAAAATTAAATAGTGCCATGTTTAGAAATTGACACCTCTTTATAAAAATATGAAAATTGAAACATCTATATAAATATATAAAAATTATGTTATATTTTTTGAGCTCAGCCGGTGAGTATTATCACTTACGAAAAATAAAAAAAATAAAATAAAAAGGGTCGAGAAAGTGATGGTGATATGTGGCAACTGATGGTTGTCAGCGGTGATCGTTTGTGGATGGCTAGAGGTGGTCAACAAAGGTTAGGGACTGTTGGAACTTGAAGTCTTATGCGGTATCGTCAGTGCAGAATACCACGCTTCAGCTCCCTCTTCCCCAGGCTTAGGTTTTCCTCTGGCTCAGGGTCTAATCCCCTCCCAAGAATAGGGTAGGATTATATTTATAGAGTTTAGATTACAAATAAGGAAATAATTCAGACCCCTATGATTGAACGATCCATCGATCCACTTATGTTTAATTTTATTTATTTATACTTATAAAATTTTTTGTTTATTTCACTTGTAAAAATTAAATAGTGCTATTTTAATGTAATGTTTAGAAATTGATAATTCTTTATAAAAATATGAAAATTGAAACATTTGATATATAAATATATAAAAACAATGTGATATTTTTTGAGCTC